ACAAAAGTTCATTATCATTCAACTGTTCTTCTACATCTGAAAAGTTTAAAGCACCATCTCCTGTAGGTACTGAAGGAAATAAAATATATTTAGTTGCAATAATCTKTACTCTTCTTCACTCCTGTCTTGCTTTGATAGAATGGAACTTTCAACCTTTCAAGATGGTACTTTGAAACAAAAAACAACAACAACAAATGTTGAAATAATCATTTACCTGATTGATCAGATAATAATTGATACTGYCTCATAAGAAGCCAGTGGTTTCTCAGGGTTACAGATGTACGACATGGGTGAAATATAGARGGGTTTTTGTCCAATAGTTCTTCAAAGACTTCAAGAGGTGATGAACTTGTCTGAGATAAAAAAGTGATATTATTTTTAAAGGGGAAACATTTGAGCCATTGTTACTGCAAAGACTGAGAATAAGTATTCAATTGATTGAYATGTAAGTGTTGATACTACTTAATAAACGTACTGATGGTATGTTAGCCAAGAGACTTTCTTCTTCTTTATTCCATAAWGCATTGTTCTGTGCTGCAGCAACAACATCAGAAGGAAGCTGCTTCATAGCTAGAGTGGCCAACCTGATGGACAAAATAATCAAGTTGGGATAAAGGTGGGCTCAAATCAGAAAAATAGAAATATTTCAGAAATTTATATATTTTTCTTTGGTCAAATATTAGTTTGATATTTTTGAAGTATTTTAAACATTTAAAGTATTCTCAGTTATCACTAACCTTGAAACAACAGGGTCRTATAGAAGAGCGTACCATCTTTCTTGAATGTCTTTAAGGGTAAAGCGACAAGAAAACTTTACTCCAAGATAAACTGCAGTCAGGTCATTAGTCTAAGAAATAATAAAAAAATAWAWAWCAATATTSATAAGTGATTGTAAATATTAAGTGTATACAATGTAAATACATTGTTACAGAWGTATTTAAAGCAATTACAATAACCAAAGTACAGTGATTATACTGCATACAACTCAGATAGTGCATAGTATATTCCAAGTCTGAAATGCATTGTTTGCATTTTTTCTGAAATAGCCATATATAGTTTTAATCATCAAATGTACAAATTTACCTGTTGAATAGCTGTTATTAATGCAAGGTCATCTGTTGGCCTCCATCTTCCAAAGTCTTTACTTACTTGTGGTGTCTACAAGAACATAATATATTAAATTTTATTTCTTAAATTATCTTGAACTACAATCGTTGACAAAATACCTTGGACCGTAGCGTTCTTTCTGCACAATATCTATAATTATCTTCTTGTCTCTCAGTACTTATCCTCCCATACCCCCCTGGAGCAATGTTGCTAGTGACCTTGGATGCTGGTGTCGTTTGGACAGTCGCAAAACGATCACATTGCAACCATTTCCACACAACATTGCCTTTAGGGGGTCAAGGGGGATGCATTTCTTATATGGTAATGCTAAAAATAGCTAAGTTTAAAATTATGGTCCAAGGTTTTTGGCAACAATTGTAGCTGGTGGAGACAATTACATTGACATACACATTACCATGAATTTGCCTAAGTGATTGTAAAGAATATTTTAAAGCTGAGGTTAGATAACAGATTTATCTATCCCAATCTTGAGTCAGGTCTACTAAAACAACATTGCCTTACTTTAACACTCTGAATTGTGGGTGAATTCAATCAAGAATGAACAAGCCAWAACCGCAATAGAGAGAGACAATCAGAAATTTAATATGTGTACATGGATAATAATAGTGTTTACCTTTGGTTTCTTTTGTTTTCTGCCACTTGATCGGACTACTACTGGCTGTAAACAAAACAATATCCCTTAAAAATCACGCAAAATATTCCCAGTAACTAATGTATGGAGTGCAAAACCTCCAAAAATATTATTGTCTGTGAAGAGGCTTGGGTTTCCACAGTGGATTTCATTGCTGTTGAAAATGAATGAAAATATTGCACATTTCATTCACTAGCTCATTGGTTCAACRGTGAATGGAAGATATGAATTCAACAATTCTCCATAGTATTCTGTAGTTATAACCACTAGTTATGCGATCTTGCTACTTTTGCTAAAACACCTTCCTAAATTTAGGTTCTGSTGAGAACCCTGTAGTTTACTGGCTTTGCAATCAATGCWGAGCCACTAAGCCATGGGTCTTTGGTGACTGAAAGGCTAGTGACTTTCTACCCCATTGTAAAATAGGTCCTGTATTCTGTACCCTGGACATTATTGGGCGTCTACATATTCAAAATTCCAGACATAAAGACAGATCTCAAAATCATCCTACCATAGGCCTTTTTTCTTTCTCTTTCATGAACTCCTTCATTGGATCTTTCTCTAAAGGTTGTCCAATTTCAATCCCTTTCTTGGGACCTTTCTTTAAACTGCTTTCAACTAGCTCATCATCAAACTTTTTCCTTTTGATAGACCGMGAAGAACTTCTTCTCGGTGTGCTGTGGTGCCCGCGCTCTGAGGTAGGTGGTTTAAGAGCCCCTTGAGGAAGCATGGTTTCACGAGGAACAGACAWATTACTATTTCAGCGCAAGAAAACGAACCAAATTTCAATAAAACAATTCATCAATTTTAAGTTATATATAAGAATGGTGATATCATCAGGATTTGTGTACAAAGAATACGCATAAAAGATTAATAATGTGGAGAAATACAAAAAAGAATAACAAAGTGAAGGTAAAGCAGGACGTTCATGATCTTTTCTTACTATTTGAAGACTTGAGTTTGATGAAACAAGACGAGTCTTGTATAAATATTTTAACATTGAGCTTTGTCCGCCATCTTGGATGCTACGGAATCATGGGAAATATTCCTAGTGTATTGTGGGCCATTTGAAGAAACAGGCAGCCCGCACTACTCCTCGCCGAAGATAATAAACATCTAGGGATTGCAATCATMGCAATGATAAACATTTATCGATTGCTATAATTTATGGTCGTCGTAATGAAATAGGCAATGTAGGCGATGACCTAAATTGAACCAATGCAAGTGTAACAGGCTTGGTTGGTAATAGGATGGGCGTGGTGAGACTGGTGACCACTGGTGAATTCAATGTAGTACGGAAGGATTTGCGTATTTTCAATCAGAGAAGAAACAAAAAGCAAGTAACAGTTTTCATTTTATTATTGGTAAAAAAACACACACACAAAATTGATAGTACACAATGATTATCGACTATTAAAGTAGATCTAGAGATGGAAGGACCTAAGTTTTTTTTCAGCCTATCRAGAAACATTTTCTTTCTTTTTGACAATTCTAGAAGATCTTCTCGAGCCTTCCTTTGACGTTTCTTGTTTACTTGTTTTCTTGGTTTTGCGTTGCGRTGCTACCTGCTTAGTCTGAAAGGCAATGAAAGTCGGAGTTGGAGTCATATCAGTTTTCCGAGGGAAGGYCATTTGCAGCTAAATTACCTTCACGTTAGTAACGGATACCTTTCGCGCAGGTTTCCTTTTTCTTGAATGATTTTTCTTTGAYTTTGTGGTAACTTGCTTCTTCATCTTCTTTTCCCCTAAAGGTAGAAAGAAAGAAAAATTAACACACTTGTAGTACAAAAAGACAAAAAAAAAGAACGAACCCTTATTTTCATTTGAACGCTGACTAGTGACTTTACGTCTTTTAGGATGGACAACCTATAAGAAGAATAAACGGTCTGTTACACTGTGGAATTTTCTAGAACAACTTGACTGGAAACGACGTGTAGTGAAACAAGTTGAAGACGAATTGAACAGTACGAGAGCGGCTATCTTGCAATTGTTGTTATTGCAGGTTGTTAAAATTAAGGTTGCAGAAGTTGGCTTCCAATTAAAATTCATTATGAAATATAAGCAATTTGAWATCAAGTGCGTTTGCACCTTGTACCATAAAACGTCGTATCAGATTGCAACTTGATAAACAACCAATTTAACATGGATTTTTCTGCTGTCAATAAAAACTGAGATCTGCTTTACCTCCTCCATTTTGACCCCATGCTGCGTGTCTTGTTGGGAACGCTTCCCTCGGTAAGGTTTAGTTGACCTCGATTTCCCACCTTAAATGAAAACATGTTATTTATGCACATAAATTCTGTTTGTTACCAATGATTAGTAAAATGGCTCAACACAGGATTACTAGGGACGGTTAATACTCCCTCTGAGATTTTCCAATATGTCAAGTATGATATCCATACCCACTGGATATAAAGTTTGTAGCTATAAAATTCTTAGGTTCAGAAACATTACAAATTTTTGGACAAACCTTTAGGTGCAAGGGGACCAGCTGGGCCCTGCAAAGAAAAATAGTGAGATGTCTAATATCATCTAATACATAAATTTGTATGAATCATCAAATGCATTCATCATCATCATCATCATATTTATTGCATCAATAAACATTGCTTATATGGTCTATCCTTAATACAAGGTACTCTTGCAGTGGTATCATCTACAATATCATCATCCAACTAACCATTTTTTCCTTTTCGTTTTTTCTACATTTGCAATATACCTTAAACCACATAGTTCGTCCATCATGGTCCACTAAGTTGTTCATATCAGGATTACTGTAACATTGCAACCATTTGATAAAAGCAGAGTAGTCTGAGTGCTCTCCTGATGGATCATAKCCTGCTCCTGCTGTTAAATTTGTGTTATGAGATTCATTCAGTATACAAGTTGACGTACTAGGGATTATCACAGTGCCTGAACTTACGCAATTGTAGAACTTCATTTGGAACTATGTTACAAAGTTGTAGAATATCTGCATTGCTGGATAACTTTGTTTCTTGGAATTCTTTCTTAACTTTTACATTGGTAAATACATCTCTAGCAAGAGAGAATGGAGGTATCCCTGTTCTGTAAAAAATAGAAATCAAGCACTTTTTAAGCAATGAAAACAATAACACAAGTTGGCATTGAGAGGACATATTTTTACTTTACCTATATATATTACCTATATATAATTTCAGCACGTAAATAGTTACCAATGCCATTAAAATATTTTTGGTTGTGCATCACTTCACACAATGGTTTTTTAAAGTCATTATTTTCCAGATKGTTTAAAATATTTTCTCTGAATGCAGCATATTCTAATACAGGATCAGGACCACGGCTTGGTGACCAATTATCATTTATCTCCCATCGACCAAACCTTAAGGAATAGTACAGTTCAGTTTCAAAGAAAATCAACATTAATCAGACCATTAATCATCAAGCAATAGGGTTAATATCTGTAACTAGGTTTATTGTTTACCTTCTAACATCAACAAAGCTCAATACCATGACTGGTTTTTCTTTGGTAAAGAAACTCAAATGAGYGTGCTTGTGTTTCTCTGATGGCTTTTTAAACTCAAATTTCCCGCTCATACCAAATCGAAACAAAATTCGCAATTTTTTAACTTCTTGGACCTTCTTCTTGACATTTTCCTTTTCTTCGGATTGCAAAGATGACAATAAAAGAGCCATTTCCTTTCCTCTAGACTCTGCTTGTATAGTGTAGTCTGGAGACAAAGCATCATGTTATACGAWCAATGTTATGTAACAAATACATAACTACAACTACTAACCTTTGAAGCCATGTTTTATCTCTGGGTTTTTGTGATTAACTGCAGACTTTACGATCTTCCCATTAAACACCCTGCCTTTGCAGACATCGTTGACGAATCGTGCTGCTTTATTTAGCTCTGGTCCTTCGGGCATTTTAACATTAGTTGATCAGCTAGCAAAATTAAGCAGGCGTTCCTTGTCATATTGCATAAGAGATCACAGGTAGCCCAAAAATAGTAAAAATTAGATTTCTCAGCGACTCTCAGCATAAACAACTACTAACTTGCGTTGTTATATTTTTTGTGCGTGTTCCATGTGGTGATTATCATCACTACGTGGTCTATGTGGGGAACACTGTAATCCTAGAAAATGATCTTGACAGCTTGTGGAAATCGATAGAAAGTTTGTTGTTGGCTAAAGTTTATGGCTTCCTACAAAGAAAAGAAGCGATAAAAAGATTTTCGCACAATGCAAGTGTACTTAAATATATAATTGTAGACAGATGTCTTGTTTTACGTCTGAGAAAGTAATTGTAATCTTCTCCGAGTAGATTACCCCGGCATGGGGCAGATAGGTCAGACTGGGAAAAACTGTTGACTGAAGACTATTCGTCTAAAACTGACTGACCTCCTATCTCCCTACACTCAAGTAACACTGTGAATTTTCTCCTCATTATTGCGCACTTTGATACGTATCAGATGACAATCATGATGAGTGTCTGCTTTGCATTTGGTTTCAGTTAATTTTTCGTTGTTTTTAAGTCATACTGCCTGCATATCCTACAAGGTATATCTTAGCTCAACTTTATGAATTCTTACATCTTTGTGTTATAGTGGRTATGTGGTGAAGTGATTTTCAGCCTTCTGTCCGTTGTTCGGCGATTTACAAGAATCCCCTGTGTCTGTCGGGAATGTGGGGCAGATTTAGTTGTAACTCATACAGGTCATGTTACTTGATATACTTGAGGACTCTTAAGATATTTACATGTAATTGGGTGTGGGTGATAACAGAATAATGTTTGATAATTCACGTAATCACGATTCGCCTCACGATCCTTGATGTAATCATTAGCATCAACAAAATTATATATTCTGTTGCAAATATAAGTTTGATCGAAGGTAAAAGASAGAAGCCGYAGTTTCATATGAATTATGCGCGCTTGAAACAGCGACTTGACTTGGTAAAGCTAAAGATGCTGCACACATGGTGAACATGGCATATTTTAAAAAAAATCTCAGTAGTGTTGGTAACGTTACCTTACATAAAGKGGCGCGTTACATACAGGGGCACGTTAACACTGATATAGGAACGAGGGGGAGCGGAGCGGTAGCGAAGGGTCACATAAAAAATTTATTTAAATGAGTATTTTCCACGAGACCTCCAAGCCTCATTCCCGCGGTCCCGCATGAGTCGAGGAGCACAATCTGCCACAGCTATTAAAGGCTTCTCTATCCAAAGGTAACTTAATATCGATTCAGGTCGTCTTTTTATGGCATTATTCCATGCATAGCACAGGGTCAATGTTTTTATACCAATGCATTTGAAGAATGGTTTGACTCCCCTAGTTAGAGCATGACATAAAACCTTAGTAAGATAACCAATGCTTCAATTCACTTCCCTCTGAAATGTTTTTAGATATGATTATATTGYTTTTACTTTAGACTTATAACAGTGCCTTGGGTTTCATTGTGAAGATGAATGGTTTGATGCTTGATGAGGTAAGGCAGTTTTGCATTATTGTCCACGTATATATTATAGATGATACAGTAACGATGGCTATATGACAAGATGATAAAATAAGATTTCATCTAATAGGACTAAACGAGCTTCTATTTCATACATTTCCTTTACAAACAATTAAAATAGAATTTCAACATTGATTTTCATGGTCCTTATCGATGCCTGTTAATAGTCAGCATGAAAGAATAAAAACGTTCTATAAAGTATAAAATGCACAAATGAAACATCACGAAAAGCATAGTCATTGTGTACATGCTTGGCAATATCTACAAACACAAACCGATTCTATTTCAAAGTTTATGGCTGTTACAAGATTTTTTGAAGTCTCGGCGAAAGCTATTTGTAAAAGATTTCAAAGAATGTTTATTATTATAGAAAAAGAAAACGTGTTGATGGTTTCCTAAACGACAAAAGTCGCATAAAATGATCTTCCTTCATTGCCAGATTTCAAWCCGTGGGGACTGGGGAAAATCCCCTAGTTACATAATCGTGATATAAGACTTGCATAGAATGAAAGCCCTTGTTGAGAAATGCAATATTTCAAAATTTGATGTATTAAGTTAGTTCAATAGTGAACGAGTTACAGCCTTTCAAATATTTTAAAATTTCCAAAGAAATGTTGCACG